GCTACCTTGATACCCTTTTTTTAGAATGTGTATTTTCACTTTTTTTTAATAGGCTTTTTCCTTGATTGAGAATCACGCTGCATCCTCTTAATTACTGATAAAATCTGTTGCTTAAACCTCAGTGCGCCTTCATCTTTGATATAGTCTTGAGATTTGTTTTGAGACGTGAAAGAGCAGCGCTTCAGGTGTTCTGCGCGTTTGCCGTAATAAAGTGAGTCTAAAGTAACACGTTTAATTACTCCCTTGTGGTAGTCGCATACGCTAGCCATCAAAGGTAATAAAAATAGTTTAGTATGTAAATAGGATGCATTGTAACTGCTAACAGATCTCTTTATCTTACTGTTCACAGAACATAATTATCTTATACTGTCTTATCCTATATGCACGGGGGGGCTTAATGAGAACCTGTAACTTTCTACTCAATGTAAACCTGTAAAATAGAAGGTGGAAGGGTTTTTTTTTGTTATGTGATAAATGTAAAGCTGAACTCATGCCAAATTCCACCGCATACACTAAACATAACCCACCCTACTCCCCTCTAGCTTATCCGATCAATTACCCAACTGAATCTATATTTAAAACAAAATCCCCAACTTCTTACCTGAATCTGTGAACACGTGACATGACTTCCTTCTATTGCACTGAAGAGTGGTGGGTACTTCTTAGAGTGGCCATGTTCCTTCCTGGTGACAGGGACACTTTGTTATTATCTGTCCGTAAGTGGGCTCCTCACATTTGAATCTAAACTAACAAAAAAATACAAATTCCCAATTTCTTACCTGAATCTGTGAACACAAGACATGCCAAGTCTGCACTCTTCTTTCTTTTGCACTGAAGAGTGGTGGGCGCTTCTTAGAGTGGCCATGTTCCTTCCTGGTGATATGGAAAGCAGGTTATTGGCTGTCCGTCAGTGGGGTCCTAACAAGGTTCTGAAGACTTTATCAGTGGTATGTCACAACGAGGGGCAACAGAAAGACTGGTCTTTGGCAGGTCCAGATTGCTGTGGTGGATCACCAGTTCCCACGTACAGAGGAGCTGCCTTGGAGGGTCGTGTGATGATGGACTCAGGTCTGTAAAAAAAGGTTAGAGGAGGTTTTTTGTTTTAAATGTGACTGGGTCCATTTGCCTGGAGATGGCCTTTAAAGCTGGACTCCAGATATCAGACACCATCTATTGCAACACTGTATTCAATATTGTTTAATGCAGTTTAAGTACTTGAATTTTGGTATTGGTCACTTGCAGTCTCTGTACAGCACAATGTCAAGAGAGGGAGCCAATCAGGAGTACAGGAGGGTAGGGTGAGAGAGATGAGCTTATCAGTCTGCTGCTTCTCTTTGATTGTCCAGTCACAGGCTAGGGGAAGGCCAAGATCTGTATTATGGCCATCTCATCAGTCTGAGATGGCCATAAGGATAAAGGACCTTTTAAGGACCCCTGTGATGGACACATTGTAGGCCAATGGGAAGCATTCACCTAATCCAGGATGTGACATGGGCACTGCAGGGATGAGGTTCCTTTACTACAGACAAGAAGAACCGGGACTTGGTCTATCATATGAGGTAAGAAATATATTTTTTAGGTTAGTTTTTCATTTTTTAATAAAACTACATGAGCTAAAAAGGGTGAAGGGAAAGGGTAGTTTCTTTTGAGTAGGAGGGAAGATCCGCTTTAATGCAACCAGGTAAACCTGGTTAAAAGGATCTCAAAGCTTCAACTGCTAGCTGTAAATGTAAATATGGCATTTCTGTATGCAATAAGGTTAACCCAACTAAAAATATATACAAAAATATACTAAACATTCCTTTTTAACTCCAAAATAAACCCACAGTGGTGAGTTGAATGGACCTATACCTCTTGGTGACTCTTGTGGACCATAATTCCCAGTCTTGCCTACTTGCCATGAAGGGATTGTGGGGTGCTTTCTCTCTGTTTTGTGTATTTTACATGACTGCTGGATTCGTTGATTACGACCCTCTGTTAAAAACCACAATAAACACACAGGCTGCGCGACATGGATTTAAATGGCCACAGCAACCCTTTTATTAATCAAACCAACGTTAACAATAACCAAAGTAATAAACAAAATAATATATAAAGAAATAATCTTAACGACTGATCTGAGAAGGGGTCTTTGGGTGCCCAACAGCCCAAGTAGGACCTCTCCTAAAAATTGCTCCCACACCCCAACCAGCTTGAGGACAGTTCCTACTCCCAAATTCTAAGGGGCCAGGCCCCCCTACAAATACTGACACCAACAAGGGGAAGCACCCATACCACCTGATGGCCCCCCATTTGTGTAACTGACTCAGAGTTTCAGACCCCCCAAAGACCCGCCAAGCTGCCGTGACATAAAAAAGGACCTTGCAACCATCAGAAACCACAAAATGTAGGGAGGGCAGGTGGGACAACCTCCCTCCTCCGTCAGCTTTTCCATAAGGAACGCCCCTTAACCCTTGCAGTCCCAACCCATGCGGCTCCTGCTGTACACCTGACCCCAACCTCCAATCAGGTAAGATCAGCTAATTCCCATTTTATTTTAACCCCTTCTCCAGGGACTATTCCTCCCCCCAGTCATGCAGCCCCTCCGCTCAGTCTCTCTGGGTCTGTCTTTATAGAAAGATTCAGCAGGAGGAATAAGACAGTATCTAATGCCTGTTTATGATGTGGCCTACCAGCTGCTAGTGTTAAACCGAAAAAATATTGGTTACGTGCAGTCAAACCTTTTAAAAGCTGTTTAGCACTTCAGTTGCCCGACTGCACCTGAAAACCCTTCCAGCAATGTGACCTGGTCACTTGATGGCATCAGTGCTGAGAATAGTCCCTTAAAAGCTTTGGCTTCAGACCACAGCCTGGTAATGAATAGGATAAGGGAGATGCGACCGGTGGAAATTCATCCCACCTCAGAAAAAGACTTCTTTTTTTAAAACTTTGGCCGCCCTGAATTATGAGTTTAAGGTAACCCCACA